ATAATAGGGTTTTTCCCTTTTTCTGGCAACAAAACTGAAACTACCTACCCAACCACCAATATCTATATATCACCTTAAATACCTATAACGCCGATCTATACCTAGCAAACTATATTTCTGCCCATAATACCTACCCAATGATCTATATAAATAGCTATGTAACAAAATACCTCTTTATCTATATAACTACCGACTACCCACCTACCTGCCCACCTCACCTCGCTGCCAGAGTTCTGGCCGTGCGTGTGTTTGTGTCACCAGATTTGTAGAACTTTATTTGCACTGGGCACGAGTTTTGGGAGATGCGTTTTTACTTCCCGGAGCATCGTATCATTCAGAGAATACGGAATTCACCCGCACGCCCCCCGCCCCCCCCCCACCCCCCAATTTGTGTAAGAGTTCAACGGCACTATAATTACATTTAATTTATGCAACTACACTGCATTAACGCTGCGCCTGCTGTTCGCGCGCTGCTGCGTATTTAAATGTTTCATCGTCAGCATAACCGCCAGCGCGCGTGTCACCTTGCTGGGGAGAGGAGAAACACGTGGACTCAGAAATAACAGATTTTTTTTTTAAATCCAAAATGTTCTCAACCACATCGCGACAAGCCCGTGGGGCGTCACTTATCCACGTGCTCGCCATTTCCGGATACCCACAGATGGCTGGGCCACATACTTGGCAATCACTCGAGTCACTTTTCGATTTAAAGCTTTCGTGACTGCAGGGATTCATCTTCTTGGTTCTTTCGGTAAAGTCACGTAGAAGGGAAATAATAAAATAATAAAAATAAAACATAATAAAATACAATTCTCACGACGTTTCGGCCACAACGCAAGCAGCCGTCCTCAGGTGGAGAACAGGTCTGTCGAGAAGACAGAGTCTGAATGACACACTCCAGGCTTGGAGCGACTATTTAAATAGTCTACTTAAATAGACTATTTAAAAAGTCGCTCCAAGCCAAATAGTCTATTTAAATAGACAATTTAAATAGTCGCTCCAAGCCTGGAGTGTGTCATTCAGACTCTGTTTTCTCGACAGACCTGTTCTCCACCTGAAGACGGCTGCTTGCGTTGTGGCCGAAACGTCGTGATAATTATTTTATTATGTTTTATTCTTATTATTTTATTATTTCCCTTCTACGTGACTTTACCGAAAGAACAAAGAAGACACTCGAGTCACGTTTATTTCACGCCAGCTCTCTACCGGTTTCTTCTACTTTACACTAAGACCCGATCACCATAATTGCCGCGGCTGATCTGACAAGAGCTCAGAAGCTCAGCAGGATTTTGTTTTAAGCCTGCGTGTAATTAGCGCTTGGGCGCGAGGAGACTGCCCGGGACAAACCAGGTGTCGGAACCCCTCGGGCTATCGGCTGGCCAGGTGATGTCTGGACGCGCGCCACCCGACACTCCACGGCGCTGCCTGGAAACCGGATTAGGGGTGGAATCCCACGCCCCACGCTCCCCCCTACCCCCCCGGCCAACTGGGAGACACCACGCGGCCTTTCCGCCTTCGTGAGTGGCCTCTTCCCATTAATCGCCTTCTGCACGGTTGGGTCTGTCAGCTCGCATATCTCTCGTCGGATTGTTGACCCGGGGGGGAGGGAACGCTCGGGTTAGCCGGATAGAGACGGGGAGAGAGAAAACGATAATCTGTGTTGTTTTCTTTTTTAAACAAACATCACTCTCAGAGAGAGAGAGAGAGAACCCGGGCCGTGTGTGCTCAGTGCCCGGTTATGGAGGAAGTGAATGGGGAGCCGAGGTTTCTGATTGCTCTCCAATGGAGGCACTGAGTTTTAGAGTGGGCCGCCGTTAAGAGCAGTGATTGATTTATGGACTCTTAACGGGCGCTATTAGGACTTGTGGTGGGGGGAGGGGTGGAGGCGTTGGGGGGAAAGGGGGGGCGTATTGGGTAGCTTCACTGCACGATGAAGCCAGCTCGCTCGATTACCGGCATCGGCTAACATCAGTGGTAAATTATATCTGATTAAGGGGTTCTGGGCACCTTCGTTCTTCACCAACCAGTGTGGTGATGTATGGTCAGATAACCTCTTCCCCCTCCGTCACCGATACGACGTGGGGAGGCCTTCATCCAGCAGTGGATTGACAAAACGAGCTGAACAGTATCGTGTTTTTTTGTTTTTTTTTACCAGGATGGAAATAGGGTCAATGTGATCGTGTTTGAAAGCAAGGCTAAAAATACTCCGGGCAAATTGGGTTAATTTGCAAGCAACACGTAATTTTTAGACTTGCTGTGACAAGCACAAAATCTATTCCCAAAAGTGAACACTAAATTTAGTAAAAATCCTTTTTCACATTTCATGCGCCTGCTACGTTCAACAACATCGCGTCTGCTTTTGTTCTGCAAGATTCCAAAGAACACAGGATGAGATGTTACTATCCTTTGTGCAAGCACTTCCAAGAGTTCATGAACAGTGAGCCTGGTGAAATTTGGGGAGCGCATCGTCAGTAGTGAACCTTTGGGTCCTAGGGTGTTTCGGCCTTTCATACTATACACCCTCCCCAAAGGCGGCCAGCGACAGGGTGATCAATCCTACGCTTGCGTCCCATTCCCAATTAGTCATAGGAGTTGCCTTGTTGTTGATAGCCAACATCCCATGGGACTATGCATGGCAGGGGCGTCCTCGTCCCTGAGTCAAGCATTGTTGACTGCATGCCTCCTGGCCCTCTCACTTTGGGGCCCAGCTGGGGTCTTTCCTCTTCATCCAGAGCCACTGACTGCTGCCTTCTGCCGCCTCCGATACAGCTCTGATTGCCGAACGCTGGCTCTGGCCCTTAATTCCCAGGTCTCTAAGCAGTCTGGTTGTAGATGTTGCCACAAAACCTCTGCAGCCCACCTCCACTGGTCGGACTTCTGTGTTCCAGCCATGATGCCGTGCTTCGGCAGCTAGATCGGCATAGCGCAGATGTTTTCGCTCATAAGCCTCATCTACTGAGTCCTCCCAGGGTACGGTGAGCTCTTCTACGTCAGCTCAAGCCTTCATGCGAATCAGGTGATTTCTGTGAAGTGGCCACTCGCCCCGCCCACTGCAAGAACAGACGCCACTCCGTGCAGAAGCAGCATCGTCAGGGTCCTGAGGCAGCCTCTCCCTCCTCCTTCTCCTCGTCTCCCCTGTCTTCTCTCTTCCCTCTCTGCTATTGGCGTCACGTCGCTCTCACAAAGCGAGAATTGCACCACGCTGTGTGATAGAGAGCGGATCGCGAAAGCCGATATCACAGAAATACTTCTGGGTGTCCCTCTATAAGTGGTAACCTTCATCACACTCGGGCGTGTGCCATCTCTCCACCCAACCTGCTCCAGACGAACGTTCATCGCGTGATTGACCCAACCGATATTTTACATTTTTAGAGCGTGAACTTTACGAAATTAAGTCGAAAATCAAATTAACGGAATGCCCCCTCGTGCATTCATTAGCAGGAGAAATAACGAATCTTCCAAAATGGAATTGTTTAATAGCCGGGTGTGAATCTGACGTCGAGGCAGAGTTGATGGATCACACAGATTTGGTGCTCAAGGAGGCACTCACCTTGCGTGACAGAGTGGTGTTGCTCATACGAGGGAGTGCAGCAAGTAGGTTAGGTCAGGCTGACTATCTGTGCAGCACAGTGTGTTGTATCCTTCTTTTATGCGTGGGTATGCTCCGTGTATCCAGGTTCCCCCCTAAAAGGTGCTGTAGTAAGCACACTTGAAAATTAATCTTGAGATTCGGTGAGGTTTTCTTGAGCGAATACATACAAATGATTGAAACCGAACAATTTCCATATCTGTGCTGGGTGAGAAATGATGATATTACTATTTGTTCGTATAATTTGTCAAACACACAAGGGGCTCATATTCTTGGTTCTTTCGGTAAAGTCACGTAGAAGGGAAATAATAAAATACTATAAATATAAAAAAGTATATTGTTTTTATTGTTTTATATTTATATATAAAACTATTATTTAATTATTTCCCTTCTACGTGACTTTACCGAAAGAACCAAGAATATGAATCCCTGCAGTCACGAAAGCTTTAAATCAAAAATTAAAACACAAGGGGCTGTCCGTGGTGCTGAACACAAGGGACTGTCCGTGGTTCTTATCCCCAGTGAAATACACACGGAGCTGTCTGTGGTGCTGAACACAATGGGCTGTCCGTGGTTCTTATCCCCAGTGAAATACACACGGCGCTGTCCGTGGTGCTGAACACAAGGGGCTGTCCGTGGTACTTAACTCAAATGAGACATCTTCTTGGTTCTTTCGGTAAAATCACGTAGAATGGAAATAAAAAAAATATATAAAACATAATAAAATAATTCTCACGACGTTTCGGCCACAATGCAAGCAGCCGTCCTCAGGTGGAGAACAGGTTTGTCGAGACAGAGTCTTCTCAACAGACCTGTTCTCCACCTGAGGACGGCTGCTTGCATTGTGGCCGAAACGTCGTGAGAATTTATTTTATTTTATTATTTCCCTTCTACGTGACTTTACCGAAAGAACCAAGAAGATGAATCCCTGAAGTCACGAAAGCTTTAAATCGAAATCAAACGAGACACACAAGGTAATAAAAGCATGAGCAAAAGATTGAGAAAATTACAGGTGGTGCACCTTCACCTATCTTCTTCCTCAAACAAGAGACGGACAGTGATCCTCTGTATATCCTCTTAACAGACTGTTGGGGAAAGTATGAAGGCCTGCAGGGCATAGGAGGGAGTGGATGTTCAATACGACGCCCGGTCGCCTTTGTATACCCCAGTGCTGATGTATACACGCTGCACCAGGTACTTATTTATGCCTGCATCGACTTAGGGGAGACCCAGGGCCGGTTAAAATATTCACCGCTGTTGTTGGTCATGAGTGGGAATCAAAGTCGGATTTGCCGGGTTCGTAACCGCTGCTGGACCGCTCCCACCTCGCACATGTGCCGCACGTAGCCCCCCCCCCTCCCCTCCCCCCCTCACCGGCCGATCTCATCTCTTCAAAAAATTCTTCTCGCAGGTTCTACTGGGACCTCGTCATGCTGCTGCTGATGGTGGGCAACCTCATCGTGATCCCCGTGGGAATCACCTTCTTCAAGGAGGAGACCACGACGCCGTGGATCATCTTCAACGTCTTCTCGGACACATTCTTCCTCGTCGACCTCGTGCTCAACTTCCGCACGGGCATCGTGGTCGAGGACAACACCGACATCATCCTGGACCCGCGCAAGATCAAGCGCACGTACCTGCGCACCTGGTTCCTGGTGGACCTGGTGTCCTCCATCCCCGTCGACTACATCTTCCTCATCGTGGAGAGCGGCATGGACTCGGACGTGTACAAGACGGCGCGCGCCCTGCGCATCGTGCGCTTCGCAAAGATCCTCAGCCTGCTGCGGCTGCTGCGTCTGTCCAGGCTCATTCGCTACATCCACCAGTGGGAGGAGGTGAGCTTCTTCATAAGAAGGTGCTGGTGGTGGTGGTGGTGTTTTTAAATGTTATTTTACATGTAATGCTTTGGGTATCCATGTAAGTCTATAAATCTGTGTATAAATATATGGGTCTTTTTCTTCATGGTTCTTTCGGTAAAGTCACGTAGAAGGGAAATAATAAAGTAATGAAAATAAAACATAGTATTTTTGTATGTTTTATTTTTATTATTTAATATTTTAGAATGTTTTATTTGTATTATTTAATTATTTCCCTTCTACGTGACTTTACCGAAAGAACCAAGAAGATGAATCCCTGCAGCCACGAAAGCTTTAAATCGAAATATGGGTCTATATGTAAGCCTATGAGTTTCTGTATAAATCTATGGGTCTCTATGTAAGCCGATTAGTCACCATGTAATCCTATGGGTATCCATGTAACTATTTAAATCTGTGTATAAATATATGGGTCTCTATGTAAGCCTATGAGTCTCTGTATACATCTATGGGTCTCTATGTAAGCCGATAAGTCACCATATAATCCTATGGGTATCCATGTAAGTCTTTAAATCTGTGTATAAATATATGGGTCTCTATGTAAGCCTATGAGTTTCTGTATACATCTATGGGTCTCTATGTAAGCCGATTAGTCACCATGTAATCCTATGGGTATCCTTGCAAGTCTTTAAATATATGTATAAATATATGGGTCTTTATGTAAGCCTATGAGTCTCTGTATACATCTATGGGTCTGTATGTAAGCCTATGAGTTTCTGTATACATCTATGGGTCTCTATGTAAGCCGATTAGTCACCATGTAATCCTATGGGTATCCTTGCAAGTCTTTAAATATATGTATAAATATATGGGTCTTTATGTAAGCCTATGAGTCTCTGTATACATCTATGGGTCTGTATGTAAGCCTATGAGTTTCTGTATACATCTATGGGTCTCTATGTAAGCCGATTAGTCACCATGTAATCATATGGGTATCCATGTAAGTCTATATATCTATGTATAAATATATGGGTCTTTATGTAAGCCTATGAGTCTCTGTATACATCTATGGGTCTGTATGTAAGCTTATGAGTTTATGTATACATCTATGGGTCTCTATATAAGCCGATTAGTCACCATGTAATACTATGGGTATCCATGTACGTTTATAAGTCTGTATAAATATATGGGTCTGTATGTAAGCCATTGAGCATCCATGTAATCCTGTGGGCATCTATGTGAGCCTATGAGTCTTTGTGTACATCTATGGGTCTCTATTTTAGCCTATTATTCTCCATTTAATCCTATGGGTCTCGATGCAATCTATACGTCTGTGTATAGATCTATGGGTCTCTATGTAAGTATACGAGACTTAATGCAATCCTATGGGTATTCATGGCAAGTCAATAAATCTATGAGTCTCAATGTAATCCTATGGGTCTCTATATAAGTTTATAAAGCTACGAGTCTCAATGTAATCATATGGGTATCTGTGTAAGTGTAGAAATCTATGGGTCTCCATGCGAGCCTATGGCTCTCAATATAATCCTATGGGTCTCTCTTTAAGTCTATAAAATCTCTGAGTCTCAATGTAATACTATGGGTCTCTGTGTAAGTCTATAAATCTACGTGGAAATCTATGGGTCTCCTTGCGAGCCTATGGCTCTCAATGTAATCCTATGGGTCTCTATATAAGTCTATAAAGCTACGAGTCTCAATGTAATCATATGGGTCTCTGTGTAAGCGTAGAAATCTATGGGTCTCCATGCGAGCCTATGGCTCTCAATGCATCCCTATGGGTCTCTATGCAAGCATACGGGTCTCCTATGTTAACCTACTGGTCTCGACGTAAATCTGTGGGTCTTCTACGCGAGCCGGTGGGCATCGCTTGCGGGGCCGGTACAGTGGCAGTTGGCACGCATCTTGACATTCCCGTTGTCCTTGTGTAGCGCGGCGTCGCACCGCCTCTCTCCGGGGATGCTCGGCGAATCTTTTTTAACGGCGCCTCGTGGCATTTCCCCCCCAAAAAAAATGTTCAACAGATTCCCAGCGAATCGCTCAATTGGACGTAACGGCCGAGCGAGCGGCAGCAGGCACGGAGGCCCTCGGGGTAACGTTTGGGGGCTCCCCGACGCAGCCAATAACTCCACTCGCGTCGCGCGCATTGCGCTCAAGAACTTGACACCCCCCCTTACCCCCCCTACCTCCTTCCCCACCTCCCACAACCGTTCCCCCACCGGTCCTCTTCCCTACATTGCCCCGTCAATCATCCAGGCGCGATTGGCAGTACCGTACGGTGCTGATGAACCTTGATAAGGACGGAACCGCGCATGCAAGTTGCCTCTTTGGCCTTGTGATTATTCAGATGAAGTAAACAAAAATCTTCTTGGTTTTTTTGGTAAAGTCACGTAGAAGTCTGAATGACGCTGTCTTTCCGACAGACCTGTTCTTCACCTGAGGACGGCTGCTTGCGTTGTGGCCGAAACGTCGTGAGAATTATTTTATGATGTTTTTTATTATTATTTAATTATTTCCCTTCTACATGACTTTACCGAAAGAACCAAGAAGATGAATCCCTGCAGTCACGAAAGCTTTAAATAAATAAATAAATTTATATAAATAAATAGATGAGTGTGGGTGGTGACCCAGTGGCTCCTGGGTCAGAGCACTGAGCCCGTGCTGCAGAGGGCCTCGGTTCGAGTCCAGGCAGCTGCCGGGATCCTCGATTGTAGCGGGTTCATGATGGATGCAATTACCAGCGAAACGTGGTACTCAAAAATTGTTATTGTTGTGGATTCACTCTTCAACACACCGGTGGGCTAAAGTAGTGAACTGTTTGTCTTTTGTCAACGTGACGCTTTTTTTACTGATTGGCCGTGTCGGGTGGTGGAGGGTTACGACATATTTATAAATAACGCGATCTCACCCACCCAAAAAGTTTTTTTATGAATAATATTGAGTCGCGAAAGCCTACGTGTTAAATTGATGGTCTCATCCCAATCACCAATGATACTGCACAGATACGCCGTGATATTACATTTGGGGTTATTTTTTTTATTTACCCAATTTGGGGAAATTCCAGCGTCACGAGAATTCAATTGTTTCGGTTTCATTGGCACGCGAACCAGCAAGGTCACGCACGCGGTGATGCGACGTTAGCCACGTAGTTCCTCCAGAATATCTCGCTGAACGCTCTTTGCAGGGGCATGTGCGAGGTGTGGACCAAGTGTCGATAAATAAAGTAATCGATTAAAAGGAACAAGTATGTATCGGAGGAGCTCAGAATGGATTTCTACAACAACAACAACAACGAAATCTGCTAATAATTGTTATGTTTGCATTTTCCATAAGTCTCTGGATAATTAGACGCTCTCAAAACTGTGCGGTGATATTTTTAAAGGAAATTAAAAAAAACACATCGGTTTATAATGGCGAGAATACGGTATCGCTATGGAGAGCCACTGCCTTCCAGAAGATGAATATTGAACACGCCGCTATGCAATGGGGAGAGAGATTCTTCTGCAAGGTGATTGTAGACGGCTGTCGGTACCTCCTGCCCCCTGGCCGGTAATGTTTGGCTGTGGAGAACGGCCTTCCGGAATATGGTTTTGAAAATCTAGATTACAACACATCTTCCAGAAGACAAATTCGCTTGTAAGTCTATGGCTCCTATACAAGGCTATGTGAGTCTATGGCTCCTATGTAAAGATATGTGAGTTTACGGCTCCTATGTAAGTCTATGCGAGTCTCTAGCTCCTATGTAAGTCTATGTCAGTCTCTGGCTCATATGTAAGTCTATGTGAGTCTATGGCTCCTATGTAGGGCTATGTGAGTCTATGGCTCCTATGTAAGTCTATGCGAGTCTCTAGCTCCTATGCAAGTCTATGTGAGTCTATGGCTCATATGTAAGTCTATGTGAGTCTATGGCTCCTATGTAAGGCAATGTGAGGCTATGGCTCCTATGTAAGTCTATGCGAGTCTATGGCTCCTATGTAAGTCTATGCGAGTCTATGGCTCCTATGTAAGTCTATGTGAGGCTATGGCTCCTATGTAAGTCTATGTGAGTCTATGGCTCATATGTAAGTCTATGTGAGGCTATGGCTCATATGTAAGTCTATGTGAGTCTATGGCTCCTATGTAAGTCTATGTGAGTCTATGGCTTCTATGTAAGGCAATGTGAGTCTATGGCTCCTTTGTAAGTCTATGTGAGTATATGGCTTCTATGTAAGTCTATGTGAGTCTATGGCTCCTATGTAAGTCTATGCGAGTCTATGGCTCCTATGTAAGGCAATGTGAGTCTATGGCTCCTATGTAAGTCTATGTGAGTCTATGGCTCCTATGTAAGTCTATGTGAGTCTATGGCTTCTATGTAAGGCAATATGAGGCTATGGCTCCTATGTAAGTCTATGCGAGTCTCTAGCTCCTATGTAAGTCTATGTGAGGCTATGGCTCCTATGTAAGTCTATGTGAGGCTATGGCTCCTATGGAAGTCTATGTAAGTCTATGGCTCCTATGTAAGTCTATGTGAGTCTATGGCTCATATGTAAGTCTATGTGAGTCTATGACTTCTATGTAAGTCTATGTGAGGCTATGGCTCCTATGTAAGTCTATGTGAGGCTATGGCTCCTATGTAAGTCTATGTAAGTCTATGGCTCCTGTGTAAGTCTATGTGAGTCTATGGCTCCTATGTAAGGCAATGTGAGTATATGGCTCCTATGTAAAGATATGTGAGTTTACGGCTCCTATGTAAGTCTATGTGAGTCTATGGCTCCTATGTAAGTCTACGTGAGTCTCTAGCTCCTATGTAAGTCTATGTGAGTCTATGACTCCTATGTAAAGATATGTGAGTTTACGGCTCCTGTGTAAATCTATGTGAGTCTATGGCTCCTATGTAAAGATATGTGAGTTTACGGCTCCTATGTAAGTCTATGTGAGTCTATAGCTTCTATACAAGTCTATGTGAGTCTATGGCTCCTGTGTAAGACTATGTGAGTCTATGGCCTCTATACAAGTCTATGTGA